GCAGGGCCGCCGGCGCCGTCAGCCATAGCTCCCCAGCCGCCCCGCCGCCGCCTCTCCTAGGCGGTACTGGGCAACAGGACCGGAGCCCAGAGTCGGAGGGGCAAGGCCCGCAGCGCGCGGCATTGTTGGAATTGTAGTTCGCCGATGGCCAACGAGCGCTTCCAGGACCTTTAGAAAACTACATCTCCCAGTAGCACACGGGGCTAGCTCTTTCCTCCCCCGGAGTACCTTCGCCCATTGGTCCCTGAAGCGTTCAGGTAACAGATTCCTGGGGACTCCATCATTCCGGAGGCAAGAAAAGTTCCCTTCGTTCACAAATGTCAACTTCTGGAGAGGCACGGCAATACATTTGGAAATTGAAAACTCAGGTTACACATGAAAATCCCATGAGGAATACTTTCAAAGGAGTCTATTTTATTGATTTATTTAATAAACAATTTTTAAAGTGTTGGCTCACCCACTATTAGCTATCCTAATAAGAAATTTTTTTAAAAAAAGAAAGAAACGTTGACAGGAACATGCACACCATGTTCATCGCAGCACAATTCACGATAGCGGGGGCGACAAATGGTAACAAACTAAATGCCCATCAACAGATGATTTGATAAACAAAACTACGGCACACACACACAATAGATAACTATGTAACATTAAAGAATAATGATGAATCTCTGAGTTAACCCTGAAGGACATTATGCTAAGAAATTGGTCACAAAAGGACAAATATTGTTTGAGATCACTATTATAAAGTCAAGAAAGGGTTTTCACAAAAAATAAAATCTTAATGATTACTAGAAGTGGAAGGAGAAGGGAAGGAAAATTACTAACTAAAGGGTAGACACATACCAACTTGGGCGAAAGGGAAGACAATATACAATAGTGGAGGGAGGGACATCAGTAAGGTTAAAGACAACAGGAGGGGTACAAGAGAGGCAACAGAGGCAAATACTATTCTGTCCGCAACCCTACAATAACTAATAATAATCATCTGTGAGTGGTATCAAAAGGAATATGGAACTATGCCTATGAATAGATATAGATTCTAGAGGATGTTTCTACATATCTATTTACCTCTGCTGCAAATATACCCATGAATATCGTACAGCATCCAGGGTACAAAGTTGTGAAAATGCCTTAACCATAACCAACTGTCATGCGGGAATGAGTGCCTGAGCTCTTGACCTAAATGTATGTGAGCAGCCATCTAAGGTGCAGCGATGGGCTTTGCCATTGTGAGCAAAGAGAGGTTTAAAAAAAAATCAAAGATGCATGGAAACCATCCAAAGGACCATGCAAACCTGAGCTTCCCTGACCCTAAAACCAAAAAAAACCTAGATGCTGCTACCCCCACATCAACTGCTCTGCAAAGGGTCACATTAGAAGGTCCTGAATAAAGCGGGAGAAAAATGTTAAACAAAACTCAAAATTATTGTAAATAAAAGAAGAAGAAGAAGAAGAAGAACAAGTATACTGATCAGATGGAGAGCCCTCGTGGCACTGTTAGGTAAGTGTTGAATTGCTAACCACCAAGGTCTGAGGTTCAAAACCATCAGCCGCTCTGTGGAAGAATGATGAGGTTACCTGCCCCCATAAACAATTACAGGCTAGGTGAAGTGAAGTGACTTGGTATGGCTCTTCCTCCAGAACCTTTGTAAATCCTACCAGGTGGGAGCATGCTAAGAAGATGTAGAAGACTGTAGCAGACAATTGGTCAGATTTGCCATTCCACTGAATATGAGCCATCTCAGAAGCAGGAACAGAGTAATCCCACAACCAGGAAGAAAGAAGAGTCACCCGCTAAGCACAAGTGGGATCCTGGCTGGAAGTGGCAGCGGTAGCAGAGGCACCAGAGGTGGCAGCACTGAATGGCTGAGACAGCGCAGTGGGCTCAGGAGTCCACAGAAGGAGTAAAGCTAGTTGCCTTTGAGTAGGAGACTGATTTGCAGAATAGAATGCCTTTGGGACATTTATCAGAGCTAAAGGAATTTGTAACACACACACTCACACACATACTCACTCTCATGAAGTAGATTTCAACTCATAGTAACCCTATAGGACAAGGTAGATCTGCTGGTGGTTTCAAACTGCTGACTTTGTGGTTAGCAGCCCAGCAAAGAACCATTCACCATCAGCACTCCCCTTGGCACAACTCCCTATAAAATACTCAAAGTAAGGCCTAATGGAATAAACACGTTTTCCACTGCAAATCAGAGCAAGATTGAAAAATATATAGTGAGTGCATTTCAAATTAGCCAGACTAATTTTTCTTTATATAAACTACATTTCTTTTCTAGATCAATGCAGCTGGCTTTGAGTGCAATGTATTACTCTTTTGTACTCTCCTTTTCATACCACAAGATAGCAGGGTAGCTTCTAACAGGTCCCTCGACCTGCCCTCTTGCTCCACTCCTCAATTCTCCACAATGTAGCTAGTGTGATCTTCCTAAAGTGCAACCTCTCTTCAATTCCTCCCTACCAACGGTGAGAAGGTGTCCTAATTCTGCAATGTGTCTTGAAATGCCCTCTGCTCGCCTTTCCTCACTTCTCCCCACTAACTGCCTCTTCCTTTCCGTCTAGCCTTGTGGTGAGCTGAATAATGGCCCCCACAAACACCGGAGTCCTAATCCCTGGAACCTATGAATGTTGCCAAAAGTGGCAAAAGAAGTTGCAGATACTATGATTAAATTAAGGCTCTTGAGTGGAGAGATTACTTGGATTATCCAATGGGCCCTAACAATAGTCACAAGTGTCTTTGTAACAGGATAAACAATGTGCTCACGGAAGCAGAATAATGGAATGATGCAGCCACAAGCCAAGGAATGATGGCAGCCACCAAGAGCCTGAAGAGACAGAGTGGATTCTTTCCTGAAGGGGAACCAGTCCTTGATTTTAGATCCATCTGACTCATTTCAGACTGTTTCCAAAATGGTGAGAAAATACATTTCTTTTAAGCCAGTTAAGTTTCTAGTGATTGGTTAGAATAACCATAGGAAACTAACATGCTTCATCAAGTGACAATGTTCTCAGAAGATATCCTATCGGGCTCTCTCTGAGGTTCACACACCTCTTTTTAGGAGACCCTGCTCCACACTCCTTGTTTGGTTGATTTCTACCCTTTCCTAAAGACTCTGCTTCAGCAGTTTCCCAACTTCCTTTGCTGGTTGTCTCAGACTAGGGGAGGGCCCTCACTTGGCTGCTCCACCACATCTGGAAAAGCCCTTGTCATCACATCCCTCACCACTGGCCATAGCCATTAGTTGCCATACTGTTTGTATGTCTGGTTCCCTAGCTAGGCTGTAATCCGCTTAGGGACATAACCAAGAGTCTTTCTTCCAAAAGCCCCTTATTTAGAGTATTTACCACAGGGATTGCTGAATGGGAACACCCATCAAGTATCTCTTGAATGAATGAACAGAAGTTAAAACTATCATGACCTCCTCGATGTAGCTAACGTCCATATCTACTCCACATCACTTGTCTCTTTTTATGGCATATTGCCTTACTCTTGCACCTGGGCTAAATTCTAAGAAAGGTCTTAAACAGTAGCCAGGGTCAGTCAGCTCCAATAGCTGCACTATATATACAGACATTGCGAAATAAATACTACAAGGAATGCCTAGAATGCCTGCCCTCCAGTGGCAAAATGTTTAGGGATTTGGGGGTGAGGATTAAGGTCTGTAATGTAGAAAGTGATGTCTAATGTTTTCTTAACACGCTATTTACTTCCTTTTCTACTCAGCTTCTGTAGGGCCAGAAGCTCTACTATCATACTTTGCAATTTCCATACCCACCTCATGATTCATTTGGCTCTACAATTAAACTCTACTATTCTTAATGTACAATTAATTTACCAATCAGGAAACCTAGTGGCACAGTAGTTTAGCACTCAGCTGTTGACTGAACAGTGGCCAGTTTGAAATTAGCAGCCACTCTTGAAGAGACAGACGTGGCAGTCTCCTTCTGTAAAGATGCACAGCCTTGGGAACCAGAGGGGCAGTTTACCCTATGCCAAAAATCACTGCGAGTTGGTATCAAAACAGCAAAAACAACAGTTACCATAAAGTTCGTCATTGAAAGTCTTAGTTAACGTTGCACTATTAACAATCGTTACTCTCAAAATGTGTTTACAGAACTCAAGTTACGACTGATAAAGGTATTAAATTTAAGCTATCATCGCAGGCTTAATTAGCCAATTGTTTCTCTATAAGGATTTTTACCCGACTACCGCAACTCTCCATTGGGATGGATTGACAAATGGTCACAATGAATTCCAACATACCAGCCATCATGACCATGGCCCGGGAGCAGGCAATGTTCTGTTCTGTTATGTATACACGAATTCACTCTAGGTATGAGAGATGATTAGAACGGAAGTATCGAACACTACAACATGATACCCCTCTTTGTTGATGCACCAGGCAGGTTTCACCACTCCAGGTCCATCAACTGATAAACTTCCCACCAGACCAGAACAACTGGGCGGTGTCCAGCTCTCATTACTGGACTTTTGGATCAAGGAGTCCACAGAAGAATCTGATCAACAGGGGAGAAATAAATGCAAACCCTTTTAATTCTCATAGAGTGCCAACTTTCTAGAGCCATGAAAGCTGAATAACCCCCTGAAGGGAATGCCCTGAGAGTCATTCACCTGACCCTCGGAAATCAGCCTCGAGGGAGGGAATAAGCTGGGTCCCAGACAGAGGGTCTGAGACGACTGTCGTAGAGTGAAAGGAGACACCTGACTTGGACGGGTCAAACCTTATCACTTGATCTCCCTCTGATACACTTTGGGCTTGATCTGGCTTTCAATATTTTCTGTTTGTTTGTTTGTTTGATATTGGACTTTCTCTCTGATGTAGTTTGTCATTGTGGGTAGCCTTCTTGAAACAAAACATCTTGGTTATGTCTTTTTTTCTGATGAAACCCAGGATTGATGAATTCATAGAGACAAATATTAGAATGAGGGTTCCTGGGAGGGGTTATGATGGGGGTGGGGGTAAAGGGGAGCAGACATCAGGAGTTCAAGGAAGAAGAGATGTTTTGAAACGGATTGTGGTAGCAGTTGTGCACTACTACTTGAGGCGACTGACCTATGGAGTGGAATGTTGTCTGCATTCGTGTAATGAAATGGTCTGGAAGAAGAAAGAAAATAAAAAAGCTTTAACCTAAAGCTACCCCTCAAGTGTTCTTAAAATCAAACAACTGTTTCATTTCATGAGCGAAGAGCGCCTGCGCTGCGTGCCCTGAGCACTGTACTCTCTGAAGATCTACCGCCACGGGATCAAGAGGACAAGGTGAGATCGGGAATTTAGGGAACAGTTAATGGAGAGGAACCCCCACCCCCACCCCACCGACAAGGAGGGCTGGTAGGGTGCATAACGAGAAGACTGTAACCCATGTCCGTGACTTAGACACACAGAAAGTGCTGGGGTATCTTCTGCTGTGTGTAGTCTTAACAGTACAGCATTTTAATTAGGAAGAAGTTATGGAAGACTAAGGACGACTGCTACTGCAAGGATTTAAAATAAGGAAACTGAAGTCGAAAAGTGTACCAGTGCAAAGCCATAAGGAATTATAAACTAACTTTAATTATATCAACAGGAAGAATGTCACACCATGTTGAGAGTTTATATATTAAAGTTTCAATCTAGTTCATATATTCTGGCTGTCACATAAGATAAAAGATAAATGTATTTATAATGGCAAATGGATAGAAACAATCCTTTAGGTAGCATCTAGGAATATTGCTACAATTACTTTACAGAAATAGAAATCCATGGTTTTATTAGTAATGTACCACACATCTTAAGAATAAAAACTTACGTGGGGCAGGCTTTTAAATATACAGAAATCTCAAAATCCATCACAATTGAACTTTAGATGCACAATTATTGTAAAAGAAATACAACCCATCAACGTCTGTTTAAAGGCATAGTTTTTACAGAATAGTATTTTGTAGAGTCTCTAAAAAGTACATTAGTACTCCTAGAGCCAGCCGGTTCTAGCATCATCAGCATTTCTGTGGGAATAAGGCATGTGGAGAAGCTGCATTCATTTGTCCAGGTGGCCAGAGTATTCTTGGTGATGAAACAAATGGTAACTGTTTGGTCACCTGGGTGAAGGCCACAGCTCCTGCAGCACTCCGTCACCCTACAGCATTGCTTCCTTTCCTGAAGGATCCAATGGAGTGGCTCTCTGCCTGACAGCAGACGCACAGGGGGAAACTGGAGACAGCAACCATGCAGCAGTGCATTGTAAGAAAACCAAAATTCCCAAATAACTTGATGATTCACTTGATTTTTCAGTCCCCAGTCATGTTATGCTACATAAGCATTGATATTATTTCTGTGGGGGGAAAATATGCTCAAAAGTCACCTACTAACTCTAAAATCTACAAAGTTCAACTTGAAATAATTGACATTAGGAATAAGGAACCTAATTAAATAGGAAGCATTAGAGGTTGCATCAACATGCCAGTTTCTTAGCGAACGCTAGTCTGGATTTCTTAACTAGTGGTATAGAAAAGCCAAATTCAACAATGATATTTTATTATACATTCTACCAATTCATATATTAAATGGCGAAAACAAGGATTAATAAAGGATCCAAGAGACTATTCTGCAAACTAAATTACTTTAACTCCAATGGCAGCTTTGTCTGAATATGCATCACGTTTCATCTCTTGGATTTGAAGGTATTGGAAAGATCAGAAAACACCCTGGCAAAGTCCTTCAAAAGATAGTGCGTGTGCACGTGTATATATACACACATACACACACATAATATAGGGATAGGCATTTATAATCACACACTGTATCATACACACATATTGTATAAATTATCTGAATATATAAACACACTGAGGATAACCAGATCATTCCCTAAAAGTAGCTGATCCTGTTTTGAAAACGAGAGTATGTAATACCATGGCACACAAGGTACACAGCTCAGCATTTGGCCTAGTGGTCCGCAGACTTTTGCCCACACACAAGGTAGATGCCATAGTCCCATGCATAAAACACTTCGGCACATGTATAGATTTTGATAAAACCTTTTAAAACAATAGTTCTCCGGGACACTGTCATCACCACCACAAGAGCAGTTCCACCGTAAGAATCGCTGTGTCTACAGCTCAGATATAGGAAGCGGCGGTGGACCCGGCATTCTCATCAACTCCAGAAAATGCATGAGAAGATCGTACTTGGGAATCCCAGCGCGGAGATGGCAGTAAATCAACTACAATTTATCTTTAAAACATTCACTCACTTTGATATTTCTATACTTCGTCAACACTAAACTGCTGGTAATAGGTTTTGCAACTGATTGTAGCAAATGAGTGTGCCTGGTGGCAGACCAGCAGTTTGAAAAGCCCAGCTGCTCTTTGAGAGATGAAGCTTACGGTTCTCATCAAGACTGACCGTCTCAGAAGCCCTCAGGGCAGTTCTACTCCGTCTTGTGAGGTCCCTCTGAGTCAGAACTGGCTCAACGGCAATGAGTTTGAAGGTTTGGGCCTAGAAATGAGGAGAGGGGGAAGAGGGGATAAATTGTGGTCCATGGGCCCACTGGATGTTTTTCCATCATCTTGGAACTAAGTATTACTTGACTTTCATATTTTTGAATGGTTTAAAAAAAGTAAAAGAATATAAAAATTATATGAAATTCAAAACTGAGTGTCAATAAAGTTTTATTGGAACAGAGCCATGCCTATTCATTCACATATTGCCTACAAGCAGGGTTGATTAGCTGAGACAGAAACACAAAACCTAAAATATTTACTACTTGGTCCTTTACAGAAAAATGTTGCTGACTCCGGGCCTAGAGCCAAGAATGACCCCCTCCCACAGTCATAATAAATCTGAAGCACAATGTCCTAAATATGGACAGTAAACACAATCACAGAAATAACAATAAAAACCAGTTGGGACAGCTAGCCATGCCTGCATTCCAAACTTTCTGATTTCCTCCATGACAAAAGCCAATGTAAGATAATGATATATGATTTCTGAATTTTGTCTGAAATGGTGCATATAGAATCACCTTTGAAAACTACCAAAATCCTCTGCTATCAAGTCAATTCCAAATGATAGCAATCTTTTCTCAGGCTTCCAAGGCTGTAAACCTTTATGGGAACAGACAGCCTCATCTTTCCTCCTAGGAACTGCTGGTGAGTTTGGACCACTGACCATATGGTTGCTATTCAACAGCGCCACTAGTGGAGCAATAAACATTCATTTGGCTCCAACTCAGAAACCTGGATTTGAAGCAACTGAGACAAATGCATCCTTTGAGTCCTGACCAAACTGCATATTGCTTAAAAATCTGATAAAAGCACTAAAATGTTTGGTAAAATGTTTTTAAGCAGTGCTGAAAGGTAATGAAAAGTAAAAATTACACTGTACCTAAACATAAAAAGTATCCCAACCCATGGCAAATTACTAAAAAGCTGTGGGGAAACACCTAGCTAATTTGAATGTGGGCAGTTTGGTTCAATCTAAAAGTTTTAATGAACCCACCTGAGGGGAGGTATGTCTAGAAGAATCATCTCCTTTTTAAAAATAAGTACACTGAATTAAATGGTCTCCAAAAGTCTCTGCCAGCACCGATAATGTGTATCAAGTGGTTAGCTGTAGTGTCTTCATCTGAGAAAGTGGATTAATTACAAAATCTCCTTTCTATGGTTGTAGTAAGAATGAAATGAACTGATCATTGTAAAAAGCTTACAACAGCACGTGATGCACTTTAGCTGGTATCATTAATGTTCTATTTGAGCACTCACACACACGTGGGCCATCCTCCTGTAATACACACATGTGGGCCATCTCTTGTGATAAGCACTGCATTTGAAGATAGAGACAGAGATTAAAAAGTAGAAGTTGGCTCTCTTAGATTAGGTAGGGATAAATGAAATGGAGGTGTACAGTTTCACCTTCGGCGTGTCTGTAAAGGAATGGTTCTCTGAGACCATGGCCAAATGTTGGTGAGCATCCTTGCTCTGTGAACTCTTCTTTCTGAACAATGATTGTTGTTGGAAATCACCATTAATGTTCACTATCAGGCAAAACCGCTTTGCTACTCATAATGTTCCTACTTATATTTCAAAAGGGAAAGTTCAGTACTTGCTAGAGAAATGGTTTATTTTGACGGCAGGTGGAAGATTATGCAAGTGGTCAGTCAGAAAATGTATGTGAAATACAAGCCTTCTGACTCAAAGAAACTTGCCATAAAAGTCCAGTTGCACGATTTACCCATTCAACAAACGTTAGCTGAGTACCTGCTACACGTTAGCATTGGCTATGACGATGAGTGGGAAGAAACGGTTCTTAGCCCTAGGAGTCCGGGATGACAAACAGGCAATTAAAGTTGGTATGATGAGCATTGAAGTCCCTGCGGGGTACAGCTGTTGACACATTTGCTATTGACTGAAAGGTGTTAATGCTTCAAGTTCACCTAAAAGTACCTTGGAAGAAAGGCCTGGTGAATGCCAATGAAGACCACAGTTCTACTCTGACACAGATGGGCTTGCCATGAGCCAGGAGAGAGAGAGAGAGAGAGAGAAAGCCTAAACCTACCCAGTGCATGGGATTGTAGGAAGCTGTGAAAAGAAGGTGAGGAAGAGTTCTTCAAGTACCAGGAGGTGAAGAATGTTGGGGAAAAAGAACACCCATGGAAAGTGAGAGAGAGTATCTGAGAACTGAGAACAGTTCAGTCTCACTGGACACAGCAAGTAGGTAGGAGTGGTAAGAGATAATACTGGAGGCGATCGATAGGCTATGCCTGTCTGTCATCTTCGTGGCAGTGAGGAGTCAGTGGAACTTCTGAGCACATAGATGCAAAACAACCCACATTCAAAAACCAATTAGTGGAAATCATTAGCTTAGTGAGTTGAAAGGCAAGCTGAAGGGAAAACCATTCATGCATTCTTTCCCTGTCTGCGATAGAGATTAGCTAGGCGTCTCTTCTTTGTTTTAACTTACTTATAGCTGAAATAGTATACACATCAGCGTGGAATAGAAAAAATATTTACCTTTTTATTTACAAAGTGAATGCCTGCACACTCAGTATCCACCTGACTCAACAAACACTACCTACAGGCCAGAAGGCGAACCCCAAGCCAGCTTGGCTTGGGGAGGAGGCAGCAGTTGTCAGGTGGAGCCATGGACAGGAACCAGAGGATATGAGTTTGAATCCACCACTCTCTCGATGCCATCTGATGACTCCCGATCTGCAATAGGGACTCTTTGTCCTATGTTCCAATGAAATGCCGAGGAAGCTGTGTCTCATGTCTTCCTTAATGTTGCTCAGTTCCAGAAGAATTTGCAAGTGCTCCCCATTGGCAGAGTCTCACTCCTGACGTGGATTCTGAGAGAGGCATTAGAAATCTGAGTCTCCAATGCTACGTAATCATAAAAACTAAAGGTTGGAGTCAGCTTTGAAGTAACAGGTGGGAGTCCAGGTGTGGGGTGTGGGTTGGGCAAGTCAGAATCTAAGGCTCTGTCACATACAATGGAGACATCACAGCACAACCACACCCACAGACATCTTCCCCTCCAGTGGGCTATTAGCAAAGACATTTGGAACAAAAGAAAATTTTGTTTTAAAAAGGAAGGTGGGAGAGGAGGGGAGGAAGGGGTAACCGATTGCAATGATCAACGCACAATCCGCTAAGCTCCCCCCACATCCACCCCCCAAGGGATAAACAACAGAAATGTGGGTGAAGAGAGACAGCCATCAGTGTAAGATATAAAAACAATAATAAAGTATAATTTATCAAGGGGTCATGAGGGTGGGAGGGGGGAGGGAGGGAAAAAAGAAGAGTTGATACGAAGGGCTCAAATAGAAAGTAAATGTTTAGAAAATGATGGCAACATATGTACAAATATGCCTGATACAATTGATGGATGGAATGTTATAAGAGCTGTAAGAACCCCCAATAAAATGGTTCAAAAAATAAAAATAAATTAAAAAGGAAATGCATTAAGAAAATAAAGGCATTATTAGAAATCATTTTCATCTAATTTTCAATTCTAAACATTTTGAAGCAATCACTCACTCACTCACTGCCGTTGTCTCAATACCGTCTGATAGGGGCCTGTAGGACAGGGTAGAACTGCCCCGGTGAGTTTCCGAGACTGTAACGGTTTGCAAGAGCAGAAAGCCCCATCTTTCTCCCAAGGAGTGGTTGGCAGGTTCAAGCTGCCTATCTTTTGGATTGCAGCCCAATGGGTAACCACTACTGTAGGTGAATTCATTTACCAGGCACCTTCCTAGTTTTCAATTACACAAAGAACTTTTTTATTAAGTTTCTAAAAAAAAAAAAAAAAAGTTTCTACTCTAACTCTCTACAATCTCGATGAATATTGACTTATTATTAAAATATCTTATGTTTTTCAAGATGATTTATCTTCTATAATACATATTTACCCAAACTTTAAAAGTATTTTTGACTTTGACAACAGAATTCACCCTAATCCTCGGGAAACCTTGGTTTATAAAATACAGCGGTGGCAGAGTGCCAATTCTGACCGCTAAGAAGTCCCATGTTTTCTATGATGGACATAGTTGTACATCTTCAGGAACACTCACGGTTCCACGTCTAAAGATCTTTCTAAACATCAGTAATATTGGTTGCCCATAGCTAATCACTGAGAAGAAAAGTCAGATGAGTAGGAATCATTTTCCTATCACTGTAATCACTCTTTTTGCCATCTGTGGTCCAAACAGCGGAAGTCTTCTGCTTTCTGGAAACTTGAAAGTACTGTTGCTGAGAAGGCTGGCTGTAGACTCGGGACATCCCCTGACCTTCTCCCTTGTACACTCAGTTCCTCTCTTGTGCTGTGCGGTAGCAGAAAGGGCAGAGGGTGCTCGGAGCGTGCTTAGCCCTTTCTCTACCTTGTCACACGGTATTTGACCATGTAGTCAAGGCAGGTGGGACACAGGAAGGTGGACTTACTGGGCCTCAAGTACCATCCAAGGCCAAGAATAACCCTCTTCCAGCTACTCGGAGATGCTGTGATGCTCCAAGAGAAAGCGCCATCAGCAGTGGCAGGAAACGTTGGAAAGACTTGCCCAAAGAACAGGGTCGTTCTGAACCAACTCTCTTGGACTAGTTGGAGAGGTTTGCTCTGTCGGTCAAAAAAAGTTGAAATCAAATGAGTCTTGATTAAAAAAAAAAAAATCCTACGAGCTGAAAGTATACTGAATTTTCTTTAAAAATAGATTTCTACTAAAGACTTTCCAATCCATTGAAGCAGGTGGCTGGGCAGCTGGGTTAAGGGGTTCCCATCAGTAAGTAGAAGGTCAGAGCGACAATGAGGAGCAGGCAAAACGGAGAGGAGAAGGTCTGATAGGCAGCCGACGGCATAAAAATGTCCTCATACTTGTAAATGCTGACAACGCGCTCCGAGGCCGGTGGTGAGTCGATGTCATGGCGGGTGATGGAGCCTTTGAGGAGAGAAAGGGGGAGGGGGCAATCAGGAAAAGGCACAGGATTAACAATGACCGATGCAAGCAGCAGACACGCAGGTGTCTTCAATGCTGAGCACAGACGCAGCAACGTAAAGCTCTGGAATCAGGTGGGTGAATTATTAGCCAGATCCTCTGTAAATGCACAGTGTCTCGTGATAAACAGAAAAATTAGCCAAAGTTCTATTCTAAGAAATGGTTCTCCTGAATCTGCACTCCTCCCTCCAAACTGACTTCTCACCAGCACCCCAGTTGTCAACTGGCTGTGTCATATTGTGCGACCACCTGTTTGGAATGCATCTAATCAATTTCATCTCCCTAACACCAAATGTAAAAACTGCATGTTTATTTCAAATAGCAATGGCTACTGCTTTCCCCCCTTGAAATGCATCTTTCTGTGTGATGATTGCGACAGCTCCTGAAAACGAAAAATATCTTGTTTATAGATGGAAACCCTTTCCTTTATCAGCAAGACATACACGAAGAGGTAGCTTATGCTATGTGACCACTTGTTTGTCTGGTAAAGGCGGGTGGTACGAAAAGTCAGAGGACTAAGGTACCCAATAAGTTCTCAACTTTTTTTTGGCCTGGTTAGAAGCAGAAAGAAGGAAAGGCTATGGGTAAGAAATAAATACACAAGAAAATTGCAGTTGGTTAGAAGTGCCCAACCCCCCTGAATAATCTACTTGTAACATGAGTTCAGGGCAAAGGTCTCCTTGGCATGGGGTTCAGAGTCAGGCTATTCTGGAGTACAGTACATTCCGGATTTGTGAATGTGTCCACTCACTAAGATTTGACACCCCCAAATCAACACTCGCAGAACGGTCACAAAATCCTATCTAGGCCCACACAGTGTGGCAAAAAGAGGGGCTCTCCTGACACACACGTTTCCAGCTGAGGTCAAACAAAGAGACAGCGCTGCCTTCTTGCTTCAGCTCGCCTCCTGGGAACACAGCCCTTAAACTGTGGCTTTTTCACAGTCTGCAGAGAGATATAGTTTTCACGCTTTCCTGCCTTTTGGGGGCGATTTTGCTGCTTTTAAAACCCCTCAAGTGCTGAAGTGTTGTATTGTTCCTAAGTGGAAAAACTAAGTGTGAAAGATGAGCTGTGCTCAGGCATGAGCTGTAGTGATGTGGGCTGCAAGTTCAATGCTAATGAATCAACACTATATTTTAAGTGGGGGCTCCTAAACAAAACCACAAAGGAAACAGGATTATGTGTTGATCGGTTGACAAATGTGACCAGAGGCTTGCAGAAGCATAATCCTGTATTTCCCTGAAGAGCTGTGACGGTTCATTATTTACATATGTACTAATTCATTGTTCACGGTGACTTTGTGGAACAGAATGCCCTTAATAACAGAACTGGCTGTACTGCAATCTATGTAAACGGCCACACTTGGCTTCTCAAATCCCTGCTCCAGTGCCCACGCCGTCTCCTGTTAGCACACGTCAAACTTCTCAGGGCAGTGGCAGCATTTCCATCAACAGGCCTTGTCCACCTCTCCGACCTAACCTTGACTCACTGGGCACCTTCTACGAGGGACATCTCCTGCCCTCTGAAGGCTGTAACTCAGAGTTTAAGTGACCTTCAGAAAAGGAAGAAGTTGATTTATAAAGAGGGAGATTTTAGAAGGGCAGTCAAGAAACAGGGAAAGCATAAGCCTACAGTATGTGGCAGAGAACTATGCTTGTCTGGGGTTTAGAAGTTCTGAAGAGAGCTTATCAGGCAAAGTGGATGAGATTTTGGGAAGGTCTTGAATATTAGGCTCTTATGCTAGGTATTCAAGATGATCATCTAAAAGTATAGATGTCCCATAGCAATTTCAAATTCTCGTTTTAATTTAATCCTAACAATTACCTTATGAGATAGGCATTATGATGATCATAACCATTTTAGATATGAAGAAATTCCACTTCAGAATTCAGCAAAGAGGCTAACTATACAGCCACCAAGGGGGTGGGTGGATATTCAAATATAAATTTTTAAACTCCAACTCCCCTCATTCTGAGTGAGAGCTTTTCTCTCGGCTGATATGAATTTTCCAGGATATGGAAAGTACTGAAAGGTATAATTATAGACCCACTGTTCGTAATCTGAGAAACCAGCAAATGGGAATGGCTTCACTGATCTGGAGACACCTGAATGCTTTCCCAATGGGCAAGCAGGAGAAGCTGAAACACTTTGGGAGAAATGACCCCCGGAGACAGATCAGTCAGTGAGCACTCACTCAGTACAGATACAACCTCCAGCAGCCAGGGGGCAGGCTGGGTTCTAAGTACGGGAGCTGTAAACCCTTTCTTGGTCATTAGGCCCATTGGTCAGGCAGAAGGTTAGAGACAAGGGCTAACTTGATTTTTTTAATCTCTGCAAGGCCTCATGATATCCTTGGGTCTTTTTAGGGAAATGACGAGGAGCTTCACCTCTCAAAGTTAGATGAATGAACCAGCATCAACTCGTTAGAAATACAGAATCTTGGGCCTGAGTCAAGACCTACTAAACCAGAATCTTCATTTTAATAATATCCAGGTAATTTATCTGCACATCACAATTTGTGAAGTCATGGGCCGGAATGATGAGGACCATTTGGTGGTCTTGTGACTACTAGCATGGTCCTAACGGGAGCATGTATGAATTGATTGATGTCGGTCTGCAGAGACGTCTCCAAAGCCCTTTTCTGTTGAGTATTTTTCTATTTGGAGCATAAGGCTTTGGAGTCAGGCAGACATGAGATTGAATCTTAGGGCTTCCACTAATTAGTTGCCCAGCCTTGGGCAAGTTTCTTCATTTCTATAAAATGAGAACAATATCTGTGAGGGGGCTTGTAGGAAAATGGAATTCAAGGATAATGGAATTTCCCCCACAAACTTTCTGAAGGCCTTGAATACACTTCTCAAGGATGGAGTACGGAGGAAAGAGAGCATGTGAGGGGGAAAGAGTCCATCCTCACACAAAGCAGACAGCCGGCCTGCTCTGCTGATCACACGCCGCCGCACCTCACGCTCTCGTGGACTGCTCTGGCTTTTCAGGGGGATAATTCACCCGCATACACCCACGACAGCCTTCAGAAGGCAGGAGTCAGGTCTTCTTGCCCTTTCATGCTATCCAGCTCTTACACCGTGTGACTTTGGTAAATAAGGAGCAGAGCGGTGGTTTGGTGTTTAACTCAGGGGCTACAATGTGAGCTTACCTTGAATGGCTGGCCCCCAGGCAAACAGGTAATACCAGCTCAGATGCAAATCGACAATGGTTTCATCTCTAGGAACATTCACAGGGCGTTTAAATCTGCAGGTGACACGGTTGTTCTCAAAAACGCCTTCTTCGTCTCTGGCAGGATTTCTCTGAATCTCCTTTGCCCACTGGCCCACATTATAGAAGTGCTGGATGCGGACCCTCCCATTGTCATCATGGACGCACGCCATCACGTCGTCGCCCCCCTAAAATGAAATACAGTTAAGAAGCAGAAGTCAAAAGGTTTGCCTTTAAAAAAAGGCGGGGGGGGCGCTGCCTTTTGCAGCGTTTTCTACTAGAAAGAAATCTTAATCAGAAACATACGTGCTGTTTATGACCTTTGCAATGAAAGAAGATTTATATTGCTGTTGTTAGTGTTAAGAATATTAGGAAGGGGCTTCAAAAAGGTGGTAGGAAATTCCATTAGCCTGTCGTGCTGTTTTTCATGAGATTTTGGAAGCCCCCCTGTGAGCAGCTCAATGGAGTGACGGTCTTGCTCCGTGGCGTGAATGGTGTGCTTGTGCAGCCGTCCTCCCACTCCTCGGTGCTGCTCCTCCCCCATGAACCCAGAGCACCGCCCCCCACGCCCTCCATGCCGAGCTGATCTTTGGAGTTGCCGCTGTCAATTGGATCCAGTCTGGTGTGGGGTTCCCTTTTTCCTTCCCTTCCTTTTCACCCAACTTAACCTGTGTCTACCTTCCCTTCCTCGCTTACCCCCCCGCCCCCAACCAATGATGGCTTCTTTCAGTGTGAAACGGGTTCTTGAGTTCTTTTTAATAATTGTGGTCTCCTACAATATTTGTCCTTTTGCAATTGACTTATTTCACTTATCATAATGTCCTCCACAGTGGCAGATTCATCACTGCTGTTTAATATTGCCTAGATGTACCAGGAGCTTGTACCATTGTTTGTTTAGCCACGCCTCTGTTGATAAGCATAGAATGCTTCTGTTTTTTGCTACTGTGAACTTGGTTGCAATGAACACGAGTGTGCATATGTCTTTTCGTATCCACTTAGCTCTTATTTCTCTAAATATAGACCAAGTATTGGGATTGTAGAATCTGACGGCATTTCTATTTTAATTTTTTTAAGGAAGTACCACCCACACCATTTCCCACAGTGGGTACATCCATTTGCAGTCCCATCAGCAATGTATGAGGCTTCTAGGTCTGTACATCCTTGCCAGCCGTCTCTTACACTAACGATGCTGGGAATTTTGGCTATCTCCTTACAGGGAAATGAAATAAGACTTCTATCTCATACCACATACCAGCAATGAATTTAAGATGGGTCAAAGACTTACTTGTAAAGCCTAAATCTATAAAGACCATCAATGAAAAAATGGGACAAACTGATGGCATAAATATCAAATATAAGCAGAAATAAAAGGTGACTAGAATAGGGGCCAAGAGGGGGTGTCTCCCCAAATACCTGCCTAGGGCCACAATAAAAGGACTACAGAGAAATCAGGCACACTAACTGGACACCTATGGGAAAATCCAAACTGTGTATGCGCAGAGTAGGGCCACCTAGACGCAGGTGAAGCTAACTGTGGCCACAACCTAGGCACATGACATTACACAGTTGTGCTTGAACTCAGCCAATAGGCAACAAATGTACAAATGTTCTTGACACATGGATGGATGGATGGATGGATGGATGGATGGATGGATTGTGATAAGAGTTGTATGAGCCCCCAATAAAATGATTAAATTTTTAAAAGTTTTAATAAATAAAAAAATGTACTTGATAAAATTGATGTATGGATTGTTACAAGAGCTGTAAGAGCCCTCAATAAAATGTTTAAAAACAAGCAAACAAACAAAACACCGAAAACAACCATCTGTTTTTCTCTTTGCATGAAGAGTTAATTAACAAACTCCCCTACAAGATAGTAAAACCCTACAAGAGTAGAGCTTCCTTGTGGTGTTTGCTTATCAGTTTAGGCTAAAATCTTATCACAATGCCTTTCAGCATAGTACAAAATCAAAAAATTTTTGTGGAATAAACAAGTGGAAATTTATTTTTTTTTTAAATCAGCGAATACCCTCAACCACACCACCCCAGCCAGTGGGGATAAAAGCCAGCTGCGGGCAGCGCACGAGCCCTCTTCTCATTCTGGTGTGCTCTGCACGTGGAAGGTGGGACTCTCTCCCACGTGTGGGTGTGCACTTGTCTGCTCTCTCGGCCTCTGGGGATTTCCTGGTTCCGTGTGGTATCCCGCTCCTGTTCAGGTATTCTTTCCAGGTGGTTTTCCACTTTCATTCTGGAACCCTGCTCCCGCGCAGCCTTGCACACATCCCAGAAATCGCGTGCACTTTTGTAGACTGTCGTACCTGAAACTTTCCTTTCCCTCAACAATGCCATTTGGATCACAAAAGGGCTTCTGCTGCGGGAGTTCTCTCAGCATGGTGAAGCAAGACCCGAGGAAAGCCCTCCGGAAATCTAACCTGTCCACCCAAACCGCAGAAGGCAAACTAGATGACCAAGAACTCCTAAAGATTGGACACTTACATGGCTCAAAAGATGTCACCAAAAGAGTCAAAAGAACAACATGTTCTTGCAATGAGTAAGTGCTTGAGTGGAGGCCCAATGTCCACCTGCTGCCTTAATACTAAACCTATAAATATATGCATGTAGATCTGTTTTCCCACACTCTTATATAAATATAGTATCATGATCCCAATTTTACCTTACAAATCTGGTTAGACCAGAGGATGTACACTGGTACAAATAGCAAATGGAAACACAGGGAATCCAGGACAGATGACTCCTTCAGGACCAGTGATGAGAGTGGTGATGCCTGGAGGGTGGAGGGAAGGTGGGGTAGGCAGGGGGAACCGATTACAAGAATCTACATATAGCCTCCTCCTTGGGGGATGGACAGCAGAGAAGAGGGCAGGGGGAGACGCCGGACACTGTAACATATGATAAAATAATAATAATTTATGAATTATGAAGGGTTCATGAGGGAGGGGGCAATGGGGAGGGAGGGGCAAAAATGAGCAGCCGATATTAAGGG